TACGTATCCTATCCCCTTAGATTTGTTGCAGTGTTTTAGCTAAGTGGGTTTGGCATAGTGGTTTAGTTTAGAGTTGCTGCATAATGGTGTTTCTTAGAAAAAGTTTTTCAGTGTTGTATGACCCTTGTGGGTTTTGCACTTAGTTATGAATATAATAATAATAATGAGAGAAAGTTACATATTAAATAGAGAAAAGTGAGTGTTTTCTTTGAAAGTTGCTTAAGATAAGTTGCATATTGACGTTATTTAAGATATGATGCATATTGACGTTGCTTAAGATATGTTGCATGTTGACGTTGCTTAAGATATGTTGCATGTTGACGTTGCTTAAGATATGTTGCATATTGACGTTACTTAAGATATGTTGCATATTGACGTTACTTAAGATATGCTGCATATTGACGCTGCTTAAGATATGTTGTATATTGACGTTACTTAAGATACGTTGCATATTGACGTTGCTTTAGTATGTAGCGAAGTGATGATGCTTAAGATAAGTTGCACTTTGTTTACTTGAAGATGTTAGTGTATTTACTTTGAAGTTTTGTAGCGCGTATCCTTAGACGTTTTGAATTGTGTCGTTGCTTAGAGATACTTTATAGTGACGTTCCATGTTGGTTTTACTGTCGAGATAATTAAGGTCTATAATCTAAAAAATAATTTAACAGACGCATATTTACTAATATCTTAATTCATCTTCAACTAGGCTTCGACACTTATGATTTGTCTCTTAATTTTCTTTTCAGTCTTTTATGGAATGGTATTAAAATATTGAAAATATGTTCTGTCAGACGAAATATATTAATTTAGTTGTGTATTTTTCCATTATTGTCTGCAATAGAAAATTCACTTTGGATTCATTATGGAGGGCGTAGTAAACAGAGATAACCTACAAAATACAAAATTGCTAAAAATTTCTCATTACAGATTAAATATCAAAACATGTTCTGCGCTGAGAGTTGTAAACTTTTCAGTTCAATGAGCAAATTACTTACGTTTGATTGCTGCGATCTGGTCGGACATCATCTCGTAGAAGATATGGTAGGAACGCTCGGCGGGTTGTTGGGAGATAACACGAGCCTTCTCCAGCAGGTAGACCTCAATATCAGCACCAGACAGCTTGCCGTTGGGTTGGAAGTGGATACGGATGAACTTACCCTGTGTGCAGGAGAGATGATTATCATTTATTAAAGTTTCACTAGTCAGTAAGACAGATTAATATTTATCATTTCTATGTACTTTTTTCCACTAGAAGTTTATTAGTATATTGAAGACCGCCTTAAAAAAGCAGTCGAGAACAAGATAACGACAAACTTACGAAGCGGGAGGAGTTGTCGTTACGGGTGGTCTTGGCGTTACCGAAGGCCTCCAGTACAGGGTTGGTCTGGATGATCTGGTCCTCCAGGTTCTGATACCACAATGCAAGAATTATTTTAATGACGAGTATTCGCAAAAAAAAAAAATAAATAAAAAATAATAATAGTGCAAAATAGTTTCAAGTGATAAAGAGATGATCAGAACTGCATATTGCTTATATACATAATTGTACAATTGTATAAGTTTGTTGTAGCTTAAGAAGCAGACTTGAAAATTTTCATAAGTTTGTTGATATTTTTCACCTGCTTTTCTGCTTCGCCGGGTTTCTTTTCCGTTGCGCCGACGTTGGCGAAATAGGAGAGTACCTTCTTAGTGTTCTCAGTCTTACCAGCACCAGACTCACCGCTGTGGATGATATAAAATTATAGAATTCTCTTTCTGTAATTATATGAAACTTAAATTTACTCATTAGTGAGTGAACCCTTATGAATATAAATTTTAGATGACTTCCTTCATTAGTGTTTTCATCAGTATTGCTTGGATCACTAGCTGTATGATTTTGTCTAAATTAATAGTCATTTAATTAAGGATTACTTACGTGATAAGCATAGACTGGTTCTCACCACCTGTTAAAAGATTAAGTATATTATTAGGACTTTTTATTAGTTACTTTGGTTATATGTCTCCAGTTTCGCATATTGCATAATTCGACAATATTTGAAACCACGGAAGATTTGGAAGTTTTTACATATTATGCACTTAATAATAATACACACACTAACCTTGCATCATGTTCATGTAAGCACCGTCAGCAATGGCAAAGAGATGGGGAGGCACCTCATTACGCCTCTTGCACTGGTAGATCTTGACCACACGGTTGGTGTAGATGGGGTAGCGCTTGTAGGGGTTGATGGCGATACAGAAGAGACCAGAGTAGGTGTAGATGAGCCTGTTGACGTAACGGGACTTCAAGTTGTAGAGGACGGAGGCGTCGTTAAGGTAGGTCAAGTTGGACATGTCCTCACATTTTTCGTACTTGGGAGGGTTGACCTGACCCACCTGATCCTTCTTCCAGTTCTTGGTCTCACCGTTGGCCATAACGGTGACAAGGTCGCCCTTGGTGCCTTGGATCAAACCTTCAACAAAGCCCTCTTCGGGATGGGGAACCCAACAAGATTTCTTT